GCGTGCAGACACGAGGCGCACTGGACCACGGGCCGGGGTCCCGGGATGGGCGGGATACCTGGCCCCTGAGCTGAGAGTGCTGCTATTTGAAGACTGGGGACACTGAGTCCTGCCCTGGGGTGGGGGCTGGGGGCGTCCCAATCTCCGGCCGCCGCTCAGGGCTGCTGGGTTGCTGGGTTCTGGTGGAATCGCTGGGTCTGGAAGCCTGGAAGTAACTGGTCTGCCTTCCTTCGGTCTCTGGGCAACGCCTAGAAACTACTGTGGTCCATGTTGAGGAACTGGATGGGGACAAATGGAGCAAGGAATTTGTAGCTCTCCTCCCTAGTCCTCACTTCCTACGACCCTGAAAACCCCACTGGTATGCTATTCAGGACACTCCTGTGCTTTCACATCAGCTTTTTCCCCCCTTTTCTTTCTTTCTTTCTTTTCTTCAAGACATCATCTCACTACACATACCACACTGGACTTGAACTATGTAGCCCAGGCTGACCTCAAACTCATGGTGATCTTCCCACCTTAGCCTCCAGAGTGCTAGGATTACAGGTGTGAGCTTCTTTCCTCTCCTGCCTTTTTTATTTTTTTGATTTTTTGAGACAGGATCTCACTATGTAGTTCAGACTGCCCTGGAACTCAATGTGTAGCCCAGGTTGGTCTCGAACTCACAGCAATTCTCCTGCCTCAGCCTACAAGGTGCTGGGATTACAGGTGTGCACCACCACGCCCAGCTGTCCTGCCTTCTTTCCTTCCTTCCTCTTTTTTTCTCCTGCTGGGGGGCATTGAACCTAGGACCTTGGCACTGAACTACATCCCCAGCCCTTTTTTATTTTGAGACAGGGTCTCACAGAGTCACTAAATTGCCTGAGCTAGGCTCAATTTGTGATCCTCCTGCTTCAGCCTCCCAGAGTGCTGAGATTACAGGCATGCACCACCATGTCCAATTGACATCGGGCTTTTTGACCTATGATATAGGTTAGCCTTCTGGTAAAATTTTTACAAGCCTAGAAATTGAGCTGATCCCAAGAGTGTTGGTAGCTGGGATTTGCAGTTTAGCTTTTGTGGCTTCTGGAAGCTTCAAGGCAGAGGGGCAAGCTCCCTGGAGCAGGCTAGGTGGTCTCTCAAACCTTAGGAAGTGGCCTCAACCATTGAGCCTCAGTATTCTCACCTGTTAAATGGGTACAAGAAAAGTACTCATCTTACTTCACTTAGAGGTCATAAAAACAACAGTCTTACAAATGCAGAGGTTATAGCTGGTTCTCTGCTCTACCCAGTCATGTGGTATTAGAGCTATCTTATGTGTACATTCGGCACCTACTTTATTTCTCGTTTGTTTTTTGTTTTTGTTTTTGCTGTGCTGGGAATCGAACCTAAGGCCTGGTACACACTAGGCAAGGGCTATACCATTGAACTGCACTCCCCATCTGCCTACCTGCTTCTTACAAGACACTTTGCAGGACAAAAAGAGGTGCTGAGACCTAGCTAGCTCCAGCAGCCTGGAGATTGTAACAGGTGAGAATTGAGGTGAATTTTGGGGATCCAGGGATGCAGCCTGCAGAGCTGCATTGTGCGGAGGAGAGCTGGGAAGGGGTCGCTCCCTCCAGCAGGGGGGAGGAAGACACACCTGGTGCTGGAAGCAGCCTTGAGGAGTGGGCGGGGTTCCAATGGGAAGAGCGGGAGGATGGGGGGGCAGCTCGCAGAGTTGAGGGAGGGTCGGAGATGTGGGGGGCAGCTGTGGAAGGAGAGCCCGAAGGTGAAGCCCGAGTGTGGCTGGGGAGGAGTCACATTGTGAAGGGCCTTGAATGCTACCTTGAAGAATTTGGATTTCTTTTCTAAGTTTATTGTTATATTTAAGGTAAACAATACAGTTACATTCATCAGTGGGATCTTGTACCTTTACATGATGTATCTTGGTTCTTATTTTTTCCTCATTCCCCTTGGATTTCTTTTTAAAAGGGTAGGAAATCATTCATTCAAGATTTTTTTTTTTTTAAAGAAAGAAATGTTTATGGACTACATACTCTGCCAGGGACCCCGGGGGATAGCTGTGAATCACACAGACAAGAGTAGTGGCTTACACCTGTAATCGTAGCACTCTGGGAGGCTGAGGCAGGAGGATCACAAGTTCCAGCTGAGCCAGGAAATTTATCTATTGACTTAGTGAAAAGACCTTGTCTCAGATTTAAAAGGGGGTGGGGCTGGGATGTAGCTCAATGTAAAGGCTCTGAGTTTTATAGCCATCCCCAGTACTGAAAACAAAACAAGAACACCCCCCGCCAAAAAAAGCTCCAGGGAACAAAGGCCCAGGAGGGAGATGAAGAGTTTGCAGTCAGGGTTGTCACGCTGACGTGACCTGCTGGGGATGAAGAAGGGAGCCATGAGGCTCTAAGAACAGGGAGAGCATGACTGAAAATGTGTATGGAAAGACGGAGAGGCCCATGGGAGACAGGGCTGGGAACTTCTGGCTAGATGAAGGAGGCTCCGACCCAACGCCTGCCTTGCGCTACCCTCCCCTCACCTTGGAGCTGCTCAGGCCCTCCCCTCCAAACCCAGCACGGCTGTGGGCCTCCACATGTACACACGTCCACATGCATCTGCGTGTGCGCTGTCCTAGCCCTGCTCCCCACTGCACCCTGCTCCCTAGGGCCTCTGACTCCTGCGTCACTGTCCTGACCTGACCAGGGAGAGGTGGCCAGGGCAGAGGGGTGGGGAGGACACAGCCAGAGGAGAGGGAGGGATTGCCGGGTGGAGGGCCCCCCCACCGATCCTCCCCTCCTGCCTGAGGGACCCAAGAGCCCCTGGCCCCCAGCTCTGGACGCTGGAGCCTGGGGCACAGGGTGGCCATGCTGCTCGGGTGGTTTCCCACTGAAGAGCCTCATTTGTGTCACCCCTACCTCGAGCAGGAATCTACTAGATAGAGCTGCCCATCACCTCACAAGCCAGACTGTGGGTCCTGTCACCTGCCTCTTTCCAGTGCATCCTTCTGCTGTGCCCACTCCCGTGCCCTCCATCCCAGGGGCTGAGCTTGGTGCTGATGGCATGCTGCTCATTGCTCAGTCTGTGCTCTCTACCTGGGTGACCCCTTTTCTTCAAAGCCTGAACCCAAGCGTTCCCTCCTCCACAAAGCCTTCCCCAGTCTGCCACGGTGAAGTCGTCCCCTTCCTCACGTGTGTATACAACTTAGGTTTCTCCCTGATGGGGGCACCATGTCCATCTGTCAAAGTTGAGCACTGTACAAGTCCAAGAGGTTTTCATAAAGAGTCTCAGCTCGGATTGGTTCCCTCTGCATGTGAGTGCCCTGATAGAGACGGCAAAGGACAGCACACAGCCGGCGTCGTACCCTTTTGTGCCCACCAAGCACTCAGCATGCTGCCTCTGTGTGGCCCTTCATGCCAGGGAGTATGAGGCCATGATGGGGAGCGAGCCGGGCCCAGCCAGCCTAGCTCCCTGGCATCCTGGGCTCACCAGTTTCTGTTTACTTTCTGAGCTGGTGGCCACAGAACCAGGCTTGAAGGGGACAGTTGTGACGAGTCAGTGGTGGGGGTGGAGGCCAGCTCCACTCCACAGCCTCCTCCTGGCAGCCATTTCAGGTTGAGGATCCAAAGAGAAGCAAATTTATGGCCTGCTGGAGCTTTCCTCGACCCCAGGCAGTGCAGAGCCCCAGCTCCTCCCCTCCACACAGTGGCTGCTCCTCTCGGAGCTCAGCCAGCCACCCTGAAGACCTTGTGTGCTGGGAAGTGAGGAAGCGGAGGGCCTTCGAGGGTGTGAGGCCAGGAGGTCCCGGCCCTGAGAAGCCAAGCAAGTGAGAGCACGGGGGAAGGGATTCCTGCTGAAAACCTGAGGAAAGTCCTTTGCCAAGTCATTTTAGAGAAACCGAGGCAAGGGCTACTTTCTTGGTCACGGAGTAGCCAGCAGAATGGGACATTTAGGTTTCTATTCTCAGCAAGTAGCCCTATGGTCCAGTGGCTTAAAGGGGCTGTTAGTGAGCCAGAGAGCTTAGATCAGAGCCCCTCACCTGCCAGGTGCCCAAGTTGCCCAAGTGACCTTATTTCTGAGCTTTACTTGTTTGTTTTTGTGACATTGGTGATTGAGCCTAGGGCCCTCACATTGAGACATTGAAAAAAAAATTTTTTTAATTTTGAAACGGGCTTGTTAAATCACTAAGTTGCTCAAGTTGGGCTCAAACTTGTAATCCTCCTGCCCCAGCCTCCCAAAGTGCTGGGATTAACAGGCTTCCTCCACCATACCTTACCTCTGAGCTTTTCTGTAAAAA